GGAAAGGTTCTTCCCCAAACTGTTCACACAAAGTTGGAAGTGTACAATTGTCCAAAATGTCTTGGTGCTGAAGCACTAAGATTTCCCTTCACTGGAACTAAGGGTTCTAGACCAACCCCTGAAAAACTTTCAATCAACAAAACTTTCAATCAACAACCAAACTTTACAGCTGGCACAACAATGCAGTCAGGCATTGTGCATTTTGATCTTAGACTTGTGTGCAGCTGCTCAGTCATGGAAACCCATTTTGTGAAGCTCCTAACAGTTCTTTTGCTGATGTTGCTTCCAGAGGCAGTTTGGAGCTCTTTAGTGAGAAATTCATCAGAGGATAGGCACTGTGCTCTTCAGCACTCGGCGGCCCCACTCTGGTCTACCGCTTCGTGGCTGAGCAGTTGTTGCTCCTAGATGCTTCCATTTCACCATAATAGCACTTACAGTTGTCTGGGGCAGACCTAGCAGGGCAGAAATTTCACAGTCTGACTTGAGAGGTGGCATCATATGACAGTGCCGTGTTTAAAGTCACTGAGCTCATCAGTACGACCCTCTACAGTCAGTGACTGTCTATCCAGACTGCAAGGCTGTGTGCTTAATTTTACCCACCTGTTAGTAATGAGTGTGGCTGAAACACCTGAGGAGATGTGTCCCAATACTTTTGTCCATATAGTGTATATTTGTTTACAAGCAGATCTTGACCCCAACATGACAGACGTGCAGACAGATTGCTGCGATTGACAACAGACAATATGGCATCTGTGTACGTGTATCTATGGTGTGTCCCACCAATTAGCATAATGCTAACTACATGAGAAATAGTGGCATCGTGCCATTTCTAGTGCTAACAGCGAATACAGGATGATGGCAGGACCTCAGAGATCTGTTCATATGGTCACTATGAGACTGAAAAAGGTGAATAAAAATGGACTAATTGGTAAAAACAGTAGTAGTGGTCATCTTGATGCCTGAAATCTGTCAGTAATTTTGTCCAGTAGGCGTGAAGTGTGCGTGATGCTAACTATTTAGCTACATGAGCTGCAGTGTAAAACTAAAGAAGGAAACTTCAGACACCGAACGTGTCTTGGCTGATCGACTGTATTTGGGATAAGAGGGGAAACTGAGCACATTTGATTTTTCCTTGAACTGTCACTGTAACAGCTCACCGTTCACCGGCTGCTTCAGCTGATCTGAAGGGAAGAACGAAGCAAGGCTGTTTGAGACTGAGAGAGAGACGAGTGTCAGTGAGCTAGGCTGTGTGTGTGTGTGTGTTAATCTGGCTGATGTTAGCACACTGCCATGTTACTCACACACACACACACACACACACACACACACCTCCCGCAGGTGCTGTCAGCAGCCTGGCGCACTCTAATCCCCCCAATGAGCCTCACTGTGAGAGATGAAGGCCAGCAGATAAACAGCGTCTAACAAGAGCAGACAGAACACAGATCACTCTTTCTCTCTCTCTCTCTCTCTCTCTCTCTCTCTCTCTCTCTCTCACACTCTCTGTCTCTCTCACTCTCTCTCTGTCTCTCTCTCACACTCTCTCAGTCTCTCTCTCTCTCTCTCTCTCACACTCTCTCTCAGTCTCTCTCTCTCACACTCTCTCAGTCTCTTTCTCTCTCTCTGTCTGTTTGTCTCTCACTCTCTCTCTCTCAATCTCTCAGTCTCTCTCTCTGTCTGTCTGTTTGTCTCTTTTGCTCTCTCGGCCACCGTCCTGTGCTGCACTTTCACTCTCTTTTTCTCTCTCTCTCACTCTCGCTCTCTATCCTATCTTTCTCTCTCTCTTTTTCTCGCTCTCTCACCCTCTCTCTCACTCTCTGTCTCTCTATCTTTTTATTTCTCTCTCTGCCGTAATTTAACTATCACTCACTACCTGTATCTCTATCCTGTCTCTCTCTCTATCTTTCTCAATCTCTCACAAAGTGAATTAATAAACAAATTCATTTTAATGTACATCCGAATGCCCTCCTCTACACCATGTGGGTCGGACGGCCGTAAACAACCTTCTCCACTCTGATTGGTTGAGCTGGTGTTTTGCGGATTGTGCATCTCAGGCTCACTTTAGGTCTGATTTAACCATTTTATCTATGCTGAACTTTATTAAGGAGACCAAGTAGGTAAGCAAACCCACCTCAAGCCTAAAACGGTAGAACTCAGGATTTTTTTTCTTCCATTTTGCTTTGATCTGTTTGCTAAAGCGATTCCATCATTTGTGTATCTGTATAAAGCTCACTGAGTCCCAGAAAAGATCTGGGGCTGTTTAAAAATGTTCAGGCCCAATACCCTGGGCCTAGTCACACCCCTGGTCCTCACCAAACGCCACACTTTAAGGGTTCCTAGAGGGCACTCATGAGCCCCATTCAAACACCCAAATGACAAATGGGACACTCTACAGCCTTGCACACTTGTGGGCTGCAGGACTGCAAGCATGTCATTTGGGACCCTGTGTGAGAGTTTGTGATGATTTAGGTGTGCAATTAGCACCATGCTTGGTTTTGTGAAGGGCACTATACACACACACACACACACACACACACACACACACACACACATTTTCTAAGCTGCTAATCCTTCTGGGTTGCGGGGGGGGGGCTGAAGCCTATCCCAGCGGTCTTTGGGCGGAAGGCAGAAAACACCTTAGGGCACTGTATAATTTACACTTATTATTATTATTATTATTATTATTATTATTATTATTATACTAACTGTTGGGGTCCATTACTTGTTAGCCACATTAGCTGTTCTGACTAAAGCCAAGAAGCAAACTTCAGTCTTGGCTGATCAACTGCATGTGGGGTAAAGGTGGGGGTGGAGGGTGGGGGGGGTTTCGCCTGTCACTGTAAAGCACGTTATTTGGCTCGTAGGTTGATCAGGCTGTTGATTTGCGTAGCACTGGTGTTATACTTGATTTACAGTAGTGCACCGTAATGCTTATGCTTTGATCTGTATTGTGTGATTAATGAACAGGAAATGCGTCCCCGTGATGTATGTGTGTCATACATGCTAAATGATCAAATTATTTACTTTCTTGTTTGGGTTTTTAATTAGACCATCTGTTTTAGTCTTGGTTTGATGAAATCTGCCTCCACCTTTTGCGGCCTGTGGCCCAGGCTGCTTTGGTTTGTTGAAATGGCCTATACACTACAGTTTTCTTTTTTTATTTTGGTCCATGTTACATGACCATTCTCCAACCCCTCTGTATTAAACAACCCCCTTACAATTAAACATGCTTTTTTGAGACACCACCTTTGGTTGATTTAATCCCCTGATTTATTTAATTTCCAGTCAAAACAGCTGTTAAGTACAAATTCAAATTTTTTAGGAGATATTTCTGAAGAGATTAGATATGAGATAATCTTTGCGTAAGGAAGGAGAAAGTAAAAGGAAAATAAATGAAAAAACAGGAGTTTCCGAAACTGGAGTTCAAAAACTGATTAAAAGCTCCAGAGAAAATGTGCCTCCTACCAACCACCTAGAAGAGCTGTTCGACCCCAAAACTGCCCCATCAGATAAACAGCACTTAAAGCTTTCATCTTTGAGAGAGAGGAGAAAATCAAGCTGCTTCAGATCTGAAAACATCCACAGGTGTTTCTGTCCATCCTTCCACTGTGAGAAGACGACTCAGCGCTGTGGGTCTGAAAGGATGTGTAGCTGATCAAGAAGAACCTCACTGAGAAAAGGAGACGGACACATCAAACAAAGCTGAACGATGGACTGACCACCCCAGAGTCCAGACCTCAACACCACTGAATGTGTTTGATTACTTCAAAATGATCAACCAGCTTCTAAGACTGAACTTTGGAGGTGTGTCTGCAGATTCTTTGAGGAACTGAAGCTGTAATAAAGGTGAAGAGTGACTCACTGAACACTGAACAATAGATTTAGTTGTTGAGGCATCTGTGTAATTTTTTTTCCTGAGGCTGAAAAATTAATAACTTCTTGACTGTTTTGACTGGAAATTAAATGGCTGCCCTGGAATGAGTGAATATACTGTATGTGAATGTGCTCGTTTTTGTGACATCATAAAAACAATTCAGCACTGGCTGTTTTTGTAGCTTAGTTTCCGTATATGACTGTGTGGTATGGAAGTCCAGTATGGAGCCCTGCTGGTGACATCCCAAAAAAAAAAAAAAATAATGCCTGGCCACGCCTTATTATGGGAATGAGATCCTATTGCATGGCAACGACTTAGTAAGGCATGGGAACGAGATCATGCCTTACTAAGTCATGGCCACGCATTAGGATCTCATTCCCATGCCTTACTAAGTTGTGGCCACGTATTAGGATCTCATTCCCATGCCTTACTACGTTGTGGCCACGACTTAATTATCTTGTTCCCATGCCTTACTAAATCATGGCCACGCATTATTTTTATTTATACAGGATGTCACCAGCAGGGCTCCGTATTCTTTACATAGTGAGTTAATTATCTTGTGATCTCAATATAACAAAGTTGTTATCTTGAGATAACAAGTTAGTTATCTTGTGATCTCAAGATAACAACTTTGTTATCTTCAGATAACGAGTTAATTGTCTTGTGATCTCAAGACAACAAAGTTGTTTTTTGAGATTATGAGTTAATTGTCTTGTGATCTCAAGATAACAGTTGTTTTTTTGAGATAATGAGTTGTCCTGTGATCTCAAGATAGCAAAGTTCTTTTCTTGAGATAACGAGTTCATTATGTTGTGATCTCAAGATAACAAAATTGTTATTTTGAAATCACAAAAAAAAACAACTCGTTATCTCAAGTAAATAATCCAGAAAATTATAACGCAGCTCATGGCCTCTCCGGACATCCGTAGTGTGGCCTGGTGAGTGAATGAGGAAATGAAATTTTAAAAGTTTAGCAATGTTTACAAACTACATCAAACTTTTATTTTAAAAAGTGAGGAAAATTAGATTTTTCTGTAATATTGGCCCTTTAAAAGCATTCCCTGAGAGCTGAACAGCGCAGCATTTGTGGACTGAAAGATGTTGTTATGTTTTGATGTGCTTCTCACAGGAAGTCTGGTGCTTTCCGCTGGACGTCTGCCCAGGCCAACAGCGGGACGCGGAGTAAGGAGAAAGGAGTCAAAGTGAGGCTTCATCTGAGTATCACTCTCTCTATCTCTCTCTGTCTCTGAGTGGATTAACTTCTCACATATAGATACACGGCGATCATCTCCCTCGGTCAGACTGAAGGGACTTGTGTAAGCACTGGCCGCTGTACTGACCGCTGTTTGCTCACCTATCGGAATATATGACAGTACTAAGTGTAGCGGACAGGCCTATTTTAATCAAAGTGCTATAAAACCCTCTGCCAGCAGCGCTGATAACAGCTGAAACTCTGTATGTGTCTTTTGGATAGCTTTCTGCTGGCAAGATGAAGATAAGAGTGCTGAAGGATGAGTCTCTGCCAGGTGGGTGTCTGAGTCAGAGATGTGCTTGTGTGCATGCTGCTTCTCAAATGATCAGGTTCCCTCCTAAACAGAACCCTCATTAACAAACTCTTGGACTGGATATTAAAGTCAAGTGTTTTTTAGTGAGATGTCTGTTTTTTAGTGAGTAATCTGTTTTCCCAATGATGCTTTCATGGTTAATTATCATTGCTGTGGATAATTAAGTACACTTATCAGGGCCTGTTATATTTATTAATACCTTATGAGTGTGTTTTTCATCTTAAAGGAACCAAATCATTTAATTTTGGAAGTATTTAAGCAAGATTGATAATATTTTTGCAGATGCAAATCTCTGCTACAAATAAAACCTAAACTTGTTTCCAGCAGCTGCTGTTTATGAACAAATCAGCCAAAAGTTACATGGGTGCAGATGACACAGTTAAATCAGAACAGTTCTTTGTAATTTGAACCGGATAAATACATAAAAATATACGTCAAAATAAATGTGACTAGTGAAAAGAAGCTGTGGCAAGTTTATTTTCGACCCCACAGTGGAAGAGCTAATACCATAAAACTGAAATAGATTTTATTAACATGATGTTCAAAGTGGAGATTCCAAGTATGTTTTTGATGAATCTGTGCATAAAAATTTCCAAAAGTGCAAAATCTTGAGAAATGCAATCTGTCTAACTTACAGAAGACGTTGCTCTGGAAATATGAGATAATGACCAAAAGCATTTTCAAATTGAAACTGTTAAATGGCATATAAAGTCCAAGTTTTACCCCATATAAGTTTGTGCCCCAGCACACTCTTATCTGTAAAAATGGACAAAAGCATATTTTGGCCAAAAGTATGTGGACATAGGACCATAATACCTATCTACATGGGCTTGTTGGACACCATAGGCATTCATATGGAGTTACCACCCTTCACAGCTATAACAGCCTCCACTCTTCTGGGAAGCTTCCCACAAGATGTTGGAGAGTGTCTGTGGGAATTTGTGCCCATTCAGTCAAAAAAGCCTTTGTGAGGTCAGACACTGATGTTGGACGAGAGGGCCTGGCTTACAGTCGATGTTCCAGTTCACCCCAAAGGCATTTAGTGGGGTTTAGGTCAGGGCTCTGTGCAGGCCACTGGAGTTCCTCCACACCAAACTGGTCAAACCATGTCTTTATGGACCTGCTTTGTGCACAGGGGCTCAGTCATGCTGGAACAGGAAAGGCTCTTCCTCAAACTGCTGACACAAAGCTGGAAGCAGATAATGGTGTAAAATATCTTTGTGTGCTCTAACATTAGTATCACCCTTCACTGGAACTAAGGGGCCTGAAAAACAGCCCAGCCCATCATCCCTCCTCCACCAAACTTTACTGTTAGTCCAGTGGCGGTGTCCAGCCATCGCTTGGTATTGTGCATAGTGATCTTAGGCTTGTGTGCAGCTGCTCAGCCATGGAAACACATTTCATGAAGCTCCTTATGCACAAGTCTGATGTTGCTTCCAGAGGCAGTTTGGAACTCTGTAGTGGGAGATGCAGCAGAAGATTTGAGATTTTTACATGCCACGTGATTCAGCACTTGCCAGCTTCGCTCTGTGCATTTGCGTGGTCTACCACTCAGTAGCTGAGTTGTTTTTGCTCCATCTCACAATAATAACACTTACAGTTGATCGAGGAGGGCATACATTTTACAAACTGTTACTTTACACAAGGATAGCGTTATATGTTAGTGCCATGTTTAAAGTCATTGAGTATGACACATTGTACTGCGTGTGCTTGATTTTACTACACCTGCGTGTGCTTGATTTTATACACCTGTTAACAATGGGTGTGGCTGAAACACTTGAATTAGGAGTGTCCACATACTTTTGGCCATAAAGTGCAAGTACAAAATTCAGTATTAAGTTTACTAATACTATTACTATTCTTAATGCTATGCTTTATAGCTATGCAACATACTTCAGTCCATATTTATAGACAACAGTGAGTCAGAAACCACATAATCAAGTCTGTTAGAGACGCTGAGCAACTCCACACGGCTTGAAGACAGTAAGTGCTGATTTATGCATGCTGTTAGCGCCATGCTAATTGATGGGAATAGACTTCCATTACTTGTTAGCTCCATTAGCCTTGTAGCTCCAGTGTAAAACTAAAGATGTAAACTTCAGACACCGGATGTGTTTTGGGAGATCAACAACATTTAAGGGGTATTTAGATTTTTTTGAACTTTTGTTTTAAATTGTATGTACATATTTGTTTGTATGTGCATGAATGTGTGTGTTTATTAACATGCAGAAGCTCAAAGACCACCTGAAAAAGTGCCAGGGCCCCCACCCAGAGACCCAGGGCACAGCAGGAAGCCCAGACTCAAGGGCAAAGTTTGTGGTCAGTGTGAAGCCAGAACAGCTGGACTGGTGAGTCATTATACATCCGTATTAGACAGAAAGACAGTTAGATGCACAGCAGATTGTTTGTTACTTGTTCTTATGACCTTTATACATACATAATCTAAACCGCTTATCCTTCTGGATCACGGTGGGGTGCTGGAGCCTATCCCAGCTGTCATTGGGCGGAAGGCAGGATACACCCTGGACAGGTCGCCAGTCTATCGCAGGGCAGACAGACAGACATACACAGTCACACACACACACATTCACACCTACGGGCAATTTAGCATGTCCAATCAGCCTGACTGCATGTTTTTGGACCGTGGGAGGAAACCCACGCAGACACGGGGAGAACAGGCAAACTCCACACAGAAATGACCCTGGTCACCTGGCCGGGAATCGAACCCAGGCCATTCTTGCTGTGAGGCGACAGCGCTACCCACTGCACCACCGTGCCGCCCTCATGACCTTTCTAACATAACAGAATTTGAAATGCAGTATAACAGAAGGCTACAATATGCAAATGAGCTCTCTAACTGGTCACAATGTTTTAACTGTGTGCTGTGAACATTTTACCAATCAGTCATACGCAAAAGTTTGTGTGCCCCTGGTCCAATGATGTGGTGTTGATTTTCAGAGTGTAAATAAGTAAACACATCCTCTACAGAGACACTTTTAATACACACCTGCTGCTTATTTGCTGAATCGAACATATTGGGGGAAGAATAAAATATAAAATGTGGCCTATGCAAAAGCTATGGCACATTTTATATGTTTAGTTCCATTTTCCTCCAATATGTTAAACTCAGCAAATACATAGAGACTGAAATATGTAGAAAAATGTTGTGCACAAGTGTGTTCGTTGTAGATAATGTGCTATTTTCACTTAGAACATCAATAGAAGCTTTACATTTGATTAGAAGTGTTCAAACGTTTGCATATGACCTTAGATCAGTGGTCTTCTTTTAGTTCTATCACCTGGACGCAAATTTACACAGATACTTTCCCGACACAGACAACACAAACAGCTCTGCACTCAACTCCTGAACAAGAGATCCACACTAAGAGTGCTATGAGCCGATCTCTGAATACTGAGTTCAGATTTCTGGATAGTGCTGCGCTCTGCCGTATATGCATGAGCGATGACTAAGTGGGATATTTATAACATCCAGGCAAGACAAACTTGTGCTCTAATAGGTATTTTGCTGTTATTGGTATAAAAGTCTGTACTGGAAGACGCCGTTTTACTCCAGTTCCTTCTGCGAGTCGTGCGTTCTGGAGAAACCAACTTCATGAACAGTTCATTCATTAGTTTATCTGCACTGTTGTTGGTGTGAATGAAGTGAGTGACTGTTGTTAAGGCCTGTAAACTCCCTGTTAATTAGTATATTCATGTTAGTTTCTCTTTCACAGACACGGTTTACTGCGCAGATGTAGTGAGGTATTAGTCTGTAGCTCGTAGCATTTTGGTTTCCAGAGCTGGTTCGAGCTGTAGGGCTGAATGTGATCTGTGACACAGGGTGGTGAACATTCTGTTATTCACTGTTCATTTTACAGCCGCAGACTCTCTCACACATGCATAATGTGCCCTTATATAGACACTGTGCACTTCAATAACATTAAATATTCAGTTTATCTGGTGTGAAGTGTCATCGCATCATAAACATGTTTGATCTTTTAGGGGGGACTGATTTTATAAGGCTAAAAGTCTAACATGCATTATGGAAATATGTATAAGCCATGAGGGGGTACGCAGCAGGAGGTCTAATGTCTGAAGGAATACAGGACTGTAAACAGTTTGGGGACCATTACTGTAGATAAATACACTTTATTTATTTTATTTGCAGGGGGATCTTGGATGCCACCATAGCAGTATGTACACATAATAAATACATATAACTACACATACCATAATCACTTTTATTTATATAGCACCTTTCCTATGTTCAGGGACAATTTACAATCAAAGAACATGAACACATTAAACAATTGACAACAAAAGGACAATACAGGTAAACATTCAAGTATAAATGTAACAATAGTAACACAGGGAAAACAAGAAGGCCTTTGAAGAAGGACTAAATTTTATGATCTTAAAGTACAGGATGGGATATATAGATGAAGAAGCTCAGCCAAATATTGAGGAGCCATGCAGAGCTTTATATGTAATTCAAGTTTCAAGTTTCAATGCTTTATTGTCATATCAGTCGGTACTTGATTGAGAGGAATTTCTTTTGGCGCTGCTCAAACACACACAACACAACACAACACGCAAACAATACACACCGATCAGGCATAACATTATGACCACCTCCTTGTTTCTACACTCATTGTCCATTTTATCAGCTCCACTTACTATATAGGTGCACTTTGTAGTTCTACAGTTACAGACTGTAGTCCATCTGTTTCTCTGCATACTTTGTTAGCCCCCTTTTACCCTGTTCTTCAGTGGTCAGGACCCCCATGGACCCTCACAGAGCAGGTACTATTTGGGTGGTGGATCATTCTCAGCACTGCAGTAACACTGACGTAGTGGTGGTGTGTTAGTGTGTGTTGCGCTGGTCTGAGTGGATCAGACACAGCAGTGCTGCTGGAGTTTTTAAACACCTCAGTGTCGCTGCTGGACTGAGAATAGTCCACCAACCAAACATATCCAGCCAACAGCGTCCTGTGACCACTGATGAAGGACTAGAGGATGACCAACACAAACTGTGCAGCAGCAGATGAGCTAACGTCTCTGACTTTACATCTACAAGGTGGACCGACAAGGTAGGAGTGTCTAATAGAGTGGACAGTGAGTGGACACAGTGTTTAAAAACTCCAGCAGCACTGCTGTGTCTGATCCACTCACACCAGCACAACACACACTAACACACCACCACCACGTCAGTGTTACTGCAGTGCTCAGAATGATCCACCACCCAAATAGTACCTGCTCTGTGAGGGTCCATGGGGGTCCTGACCACTGAAGAACAGGGTAAAAGGGGCTAACAAAGTATCAGAGAAACAGATGGACTACAGTCTGTAACTGTAGAACTACAAAGTGCACCTATATAGTAAGTGGAGCTGATAAAATGGACAGTGAGCGTAGAAACAAGGAGGTGGTCAGAATGACACAAAACATATACAATCTCAATAAAAGTAACAAACACTGACATGAAATAAACAAGGTTGAGATTGTGGAGTAGAGTTCAGAAGTCTGATAGAGGAAGGGTAAGTACTGTTACTAAACCGAGTGTTGGCAGAAGGGAGCTTTTTTAGAAAGGTGCTGTGTTGGGTGGGAACCGTCTGCATAGATTTTTAATGCTTTCTTTTCCTCCTTTAGCGACAGATGGAAGTTCGCACCACTTTCTCTAGCTGCTCTCTCTCATATGCCATTGTACCACCATACCAGACACATATGGAGAAGGTCAACACACTTTCCACTATAGCTCTATCAAAGCAGACCATACAGTCTCTAGTCACACCAAATGTCTTAAGCTGTCTTATAAAGAAAAGCCTTTGATGAGCTTTTCCCCAACAAGACAGCAGTGTTGCTCTCTGACTTAAGAGATGAGCTGATGGTTGTACCCAGGAACTTAAAGGAGGCAACCCTCTCCACCTCCCCACCACTGATGGTCAGGGGCAGCAGGTTAATAAGGAGAACCTTGTACTGAGAATGTAATGGGTAACCAGTGAAGACTCTGAAGGACAGAGGTGATGTGGTCATTCTTCTTTGAACATACTGGAACCTAGTGAGGGCTTTGACAGGGAGGCCAGATGGAAGAGCATTGTAGTAGTCTAGCCGTGATGTCACTAATGCGCGCACAAGTGTTTCTACATCGGCTTGGCCGAGGAACGGTCAGAGACGAGCAATATTCCGAAGATGGAGAAATCCCGTCTCAACAACAGAATTGATCTGAACGTCAAAAGAGAGTGTGGGGTCAAAGATATATACACATATTTATGTGTACACGGGCTTTTGATTGATGATAGCCAATAGAAATGACCCCCAGTAGCGCGTCCTCCAGTTTGCAGTGCTATGTGAGAGGGCAGTGTTATCTTGTGGTAGCTAATTAAAACTAAGCTAAGACTGAAAACTGCAGAGCTATCTGTGTGGCTTTGATATATACATTATAATTATATGTAATTAGCTGCATTTTTACTAAACCTAATAGAACACATTTGTGGGCGGAGCCTGTACGGCTCAATTTTGCTACTGTCCTCTACTCTGTCGCTGCTTTCTGTGAGCTCAGACAGGTAGTCTTGTATTCCATTTAAAGGTGTAGCCCACTGACCCACCATCCATCCACATAACCATCCACCCATTTATTCATCTTCCATTTCCTCCCTTTGATCCATCCATCCATCTTCTTGACTCCGCTAACCGATTTAAGCGACGCTAACTTAAAAAATCTTTGAGCGGTCCACCTTCGCGGAGTTCAGGGACTCGGGGAGACGATCCGTCCTCCTCTCGTTTGAGACGGGTTCAGAGGAAATAGGATGAGTGATGTGTGTGTCTTTGCTCATCGCTGTGGCGGATTACAGTGTTGTTATGGTCCGTGTTCTGTTCTCTTCAAGGTTTACAGTCATTCGGGTTGGGTTTCTATTAGGGCTGCACAGTGTAGTGTTCCTTAATCATTCCAGCGACATCAGCCTTCACGATACTAATATTACCAAAAGCTGCAATATGCAAATGAGTATCTAACCAATTACTTTGTGTATCTGTTTATTTTCTGACCAGTTAGCTTAAATAGCTAGGTAGCTGTTTGGCATTCATTCTGCCTTGTTAGTCATGATCTGTGTAGCTAAGTTATTCATTTCTCCCCCATTTGACACAAAAATGATGCAAAGATCCAGATGTAGGCTGAATAACAGATCCCAGATGATTTGATACAGCCAGAACAGTCCGATGTATGGAAACACCGGCTCCTAGTCTTGTGAGAGAAACTTGTGAGAAATAACTGGTAACACTTTACTGTAAGGGTATAGTTCATAAGGCTACATGACATCTACATAAGCTTGTCATATAACCGTACATACATGTTTATTATGTTTATTGTGTATTTTCTGGTAACCGGTTAGCTTAAATAGCTAGTTAGTCAGCTAGCTAGTTTTATGACCTATATATATATATATATATATAACATGTTCTGTTCACACTGTTTCTCTCTGATGCCTCCAGTCTTTAATCTTTTTTTCAGATGCAAACTTCCACAGGATCTCCTCCATCTCTGCTCTCACTCACTCAGCCGCACACAGCGTTTCATTACCTCTGACTCTAATAGAGGGCAGCCTGACTGTGGTGTCCTCACCCTTCACCTCTTTCTCTCCTCCTTTCACATCTCTCTTCTCTTTCACATCTCATTTCTCTTCCTCCTCTGTTTCTCCTCTCTCCTCTGTTTCTCCTCTCTCTTCTTTCTCCTCTCCTTCTCCTCTCTCTTTGCTTTCTCCTCTCTCCTGTTACTCTTCTCTCTTCTCCATCTCCTCTCTCTTCTCTCTCTCCTCTTTCTCCTCTCTCTTCTCTTTCTCCTCTTTCTCCTCTCTCTCCTTTCTCTTCTATCTCCTCTCTCTACCTTTTCTGTCTTCTTTTCCTTTCTTTTCTTTCACCTATCTCTTCTTTCTCCTCTCTTTCACCTCTCTTTTTCTCCTCTTCTCTTTCTCTTCTCCCTTTTCATACTCCTTTAATTCTCCTCTCTTCATTCACCTCTCTATCTCCTTACTTTCACCTTGCTTTACCACTCCTTTAGAGTGTGTGTGTGTGTGTGTGTGAGTGTGTGTGTGTCAGACAGATAAAGCTGTGTTAAGCTCAGAAACATGCTGTTGTGCTCTCAGCTCTGCCCCATGATTCATACCCTCACAGAGAGAGAGAGAGAGAGGGAGAGAGAGAGAGAGAGTCTCACTGTGGTCATTTTTAAAAAATTATTTTTCATTTCATTTGAAAATAAATAAAAAATATAATAATAATAAGAATAATAATCTCAAGATCACTTTGGTCATATAGAGTTTACATGTATTTATTTATTTACAGTGCACTTTACTCGCTCTACAGTTTGACACAGTTTACTTTATTTGTTTGTTTTTTTATTCTTTCTTTCTTTCATAATTCCATTCATTTTGTATGTGGTCATCTGTGGCTGTGTGAGGGCTGTGAGGGAGATCCAGCTTCTGAAAACAGGTTACAGTTTTCTTTACAACATTCTGGATATGTACAGTATCACTGGATAAGCTGTGATGTAACTTGATTAAACATTGTTCTGAATTATTCTGGATCAGTGAGGAGGTCAGTGCTGCAGGAGTGGACGGAACCAGTGTGGACGATAATCAGTAATCTGAGTCCAGAGAGTTTATTGTTTCCTGAACAAATTTAGTTAAGAATTTGTTTTCTCTCTGTTATGAAATATAAAAGAATGTGATCGGGTGGGTAGGGGTATCGCTAACGGCCCCCGGAATGTTCAGAAATGGCCTCGGGATAGCGTGTGTGTGTGAGTGTGTGTGAGTGTGTGTGTGAGTGTGTGTGAGTGTATGTGTGTTGGTTCTGGTTATTCAGTGGCACTGACAGTCCTGAGGGGACATGAGGCAGCAGGATTGGCAGCCATGCAGGTGGTCCTCAGGGACAGAGACTAGAGAGAGTGTGTGTGCGTGTGTGTGCGTGTGTGTGTGTGTGTGTGTGTATGTCTCTCTCTGTGGTCTCAGCAGCTTCTAAGGAGAACCTCATACTCAGCACCAAACACCCAGCATCCCACCATCATACAGACAACAGAGCCAAAAAAACATCAACATCTGTCACCACCACACCAACCTGACCAGAGAGAGAGAGAGAGAGAGAGAGAGAGAGAGGGAGAGAGAGAGAGAAGGAGAGAGAGAGAGAGAGAGAGAGAGAGAGAGAGAGAGAGAGAGATAGATAGATAGAGAGAAGGAGAGAGAGAGAGAGAGAGAGAAAGAGAGGAGGAGAGAGAGAGAGAGAGAGAGAGAGAGAGAGGAGGAGAGAGGGAGAGAGGGAGAGAGCGGTGAGGTCGAGACAGAGCTGCAGTCCCTCCTTCAATGTGAAAAATCTAAATTGGCCTGAGAAAATGTCACAACAACACTGAAAAACATTCTCCCAAATTGTGGAATTCTAACGCTATCTGAAAAATTCCCTGTGTTCCTGGGAGAAGGACAAACAGCATCTCTCACTGCAAAATATGTGGCAACATGAAGGACGGTAACACCCTGACCTCACTGACCCCCCACCAAACCCCTCACTGTATATGAGTTAAACATACCGTCACTGTCCAGTGAAAAACATGCATCTCCATTTTTTTTCGTTTTCTGACTTTTCTGCGTTGTTGGAGCTCAGCAGCTGTCCTTTACATTGTGTGAAAGTTTAATGATGATTGGACCAATAGAAACGCTCTAAAACTGCTTAGAATAAGATCTCTTTACATTAACTTACATTAAAAAATAAAGAGGGGTTTTGACCTCTCCTGTAAAGTTACTATTTCGGAGATACTTGTTTTTCTTTGGACAGCTATGATATGTTGTCTTATTTTATTTATTTATTTATTCATTTTAATATTATTGTCATTATTTCACTACGACTATTATCATTATTACAATTATTCTATATTTGTTTTTAGTTCTACAAACTATGCTTTGAGTTGAAATTGACATGTGGAAACATTGTACTCAAAACAATCATGCAAATAAAGCTACTCTGAATTTGAATTTGGTAAAAGTAAGAGAGAGTGAGAAAGAGAAAGGAGAGAGAGAGAGAGAGAGAGAGAGAGAGAGAGAGGAGAGTGAAAGAAAGAGAGGAAGGAGAGAGGGAAAGTGTGAGAGAGAATGAGACAAAGGGAACAGAGGAGTGAGACAAAAAGAGAGAAAGAGAATCAGGAGGTTAGAGAGAGTAAGACAGAAACAGCGAGAGAGACACAATGAAAGGGAACATAATGAGAAAGAAAGAGAGAAGAATAGGGAGAAGAAGTGTGGGAGATGGGGAAAGAGAGAGAAAGAAAGATAGTGACAGAAAGAATGAGAAAGAAAGAGAGGGAGAGAGATAGAGAGAGTGAAAGAGATTGGGAGAGAAGAAAGAAAGAGAGACTAAAAGAAAGAAGGAAAGAGATGGGGAGAAGAAGTGTAAGAGATAGAGAAAGAGAAAGAGATGGTGACAGAAAAAAGGGAGATAGCAAGAGAAAGAGAAATTAAGAAGAACAAAGGCAGAGAGGAAGATACAGAAAGAGAGGGAGAGGGATAGAGAGCGTGTGTGATAGAGAGAGAGCAGGGGAGAAAGAAAGAGACAGTTGTGAGAGATAGAAAGAGAACATATTGAGAAAAGGAAAGAGACTGGGAGAGAAGAAAGAATGAGAGAGTAAGAGAAAGAAGGAAAGAGATGGGGAGAAGAAGTGAAGGAGATAGAGAAAGAGAAATTAAGAAGGATAGAGGGAGAGAGGAAGATACAGAAAGAGAAAGAAAGCATGGAAGAGAGATACATATAATGAGAGAGTCAAAGCTAGGGAGAGAGAGAGAGAAATAGAGAGAAAAAGAGAACATACTGAGAGAAAGAAAGAGACTGGGAGAGAAGAAAGAATGAGAGAGCAAGAGAAAGAAGGAAAGAGATGGGGAGAAGAAGTGAGGGAGATCGAGAAAGTATAGAGAAAAAGAGAGAGAAAAAAAAGAAAATAAGGAAACTAGAGGAGGGAGGAAGATACATAAAGAGAGAGAGAAAGAAAGAAAGTGGGAGAGGGAGAGAGAGAGAGAGAGAGAGAGAGAGACACTGGGGACAGCAGGGCTGCTGTTAGTTGGTCTGTAACGGTGCAGGTTGGCGCTTCGTTATTATGGCCGTGTCTCAGGTTCTCGTTCACCCTGTCCGTCTGTCCGTCAGTCAAACCCACACCTCCTTTCACCTCCCTCGCTCATTTACTCTTTCAAAATAAAAAAAATAATGAGCTCCCTTAAGATGCCTACATTTTGCATTTTTTTTCGCTTATTTTAATATTTATTAAGGTGAAGTTTAGATGGAAAAAAGTAGAAAAGAAGAAGAAGAAGAAAAAAGAATCTTCCAACATACATTTGCAGAGACATTAAAGTTTTTGCTCGTTGTGAAAAGGTACCTTGCCTGGAGTAATTGGGGTTTTAATTATTTATTTATTTTGTTTTGCGGTTCGAAGGTGTGCGCTGAATGCGGAGAGGATTACTGCGTCGGCTGCTTCGCCAGATTTCACCAGAAGGGGGCACTGAAGCACCATCGGATGATTCCCGTGCAGGTGAGGAACGCTTCTGACTGCCCTGCAGCCTCACACACTGACCAGCACCGTCCACACTCATGCATTCGCGAGTCCTCATGTCCGTGCGTTGGCACAGGAGGGAGAAATTTTCCGTACTTTTTCTTCTGCGTTTGTCTATTTTTCTGCTGCTTCTTTTTTCCCGGTATGCTAATACTGCTCACCATTAAGCGGACAGCCTGCTCTCTCCTCTCTCTGCCCAGCCGCTCATTACACACACACACACACACACACTGATGCCAGGGCTGGAGAGTAAACACACACATGCTCATACCATCAGAGGACAGCAGCTGTGTGTAAACACAAACAGGCCAACCTGCTCTGGCCGTTTGTTTTAGAGATTGCAGCTGCTGCAAGCTGGAGAGTTAGACTGAAGCTTTTATTGACCGGATGGATGTATCTGTGGCCGTAAACGAGGGCATAGCTTCAGAAAACGGCATGATATGGATGAAATACCATATCTGGACCGTTCTACTGAATTAGTTCAAACAGCGAGTCCCGAGGATTACAACTGTGCAAGGATCGATATTTAAACCTGAGGCATTAAAAGAGACTTTTATGACCTGCACCAGCTGAACGTAAGTTCAGTCGTAACTTAGTTTGAATGTAAACAGCCACTATGTTCAAGTTTGCGAGCTACTAGCATTTAACCGGTTGCACCAAGTAACACAGTTTCAATGTAGCTTTACAATTACGGCATTTGGCAGACGCTTTTATCCAGAGCGACTTACAGTTTGATCATTTTACACAGGTAGGCGAGGGTTAGGAGTCTTGCCCCAGGACTCTTATTGGTATAGTGTAGGAGGGGATTGAACCCCAGTCTACGGCATAGAAAGTAGAGGTGTTACCCACTACACCACACAAACCGCTTTAAGTCATGACTTAAAATTTACACATACTCTGTAGTCGGTGTAAGTTCTGCTGTAATAATCAGTTAAAATGGCTGGTCGTTCGATCAATGGAAAACTCGCAAGAAAACGAAATACGTCTCGGTTTGCACCAGGAACCACTTCTGCAGGATAGATCACAGCCGTTTTTGTTGATTGGAGATAGAAAAGACCTCCTAGTCGCAGATTTGTAACACAACACAGACAGTAACGGAGCCCCGAGTTTTGCTTTGTGTCCGGCGCTGGGATATTTTCCTACAGGGTCGTTCCAAAACCTGTCAACTGTGTTCAGAGCAATAAGAGCAGCTCCATCAGTGCTCAGGTTGTGTGACGCTGACCTTATTATCATACAATACAGAACGCAGATTACTTTTAAAATATAACTAACAAAGCTGAGATCACCTTTCTGTCATTCAGCAGATTCAAGTAGTGATTACATTAACTGCAGCTTCGCTAACATTACTGACCGTTCATTGATAAAGTGCTGTTGAAATATTTGTATGAGAGCCCAGTTTGAACTCAGAAGAGTCCAGCAGCAGAACAGAATAAACACACATACAAGAGACGGACGCTTTGAGGACACCACTTTACTGTAGAACACAGTGTCTTTTTGAACTATAGCTGATACGACCGACACACTGTAAGCGAAGTAAATGTAGCATGAAAAAGAGCAATTTCACTGCATGTGGAGATCGTATGTGTAATGTTTCCTGTTTCTGTTACTGATTGGCTGCAGAGTGAAAACGTCATTCTGTGCGACAGTGTTTTGATCTACGATCACTTTGCGCTCCACTAGTTAAGACGTACCGTAAGTGTCTGTGGTGCAACTGAAATTCTGTGTCGCTAGTTTTAAACTAACTACTCTCAACGTGAGATTTAGGACAGACTTTACACCCCAACTTACGACCAAACTTATGTTCAGCTGGTGCAACTGGCTGCTGGTGCAACTGGCTGCTGGTCTAGGGATGGGCTGAAAAGAACGGTGTGATGCGGAATGTATGCTTTGTGAAGGTTTGTGTAGTGTAGTAATAATAATAATAATAATAATAATAATAATAATAATAACAAAAATGGCAGAAGGTTTTCAACAGCAAATTCAAAGTATATCATACAACTGTACAGTGCAGTCACCGGTTCTTCTTCAGGTTTGGCCAAAACAACAAACAGAACCCAGACTAACTCCAATATAGTTACTAACCAGCCTTAACCACAAAAAAAGAATAAACAAAAGGCAGACAGCTTACCTAACTCCCTGATTGGCACACAACACAGACAAAAACCCAAACAAAATGGCAGCCAGACCTACACCTGGTGAAGCTATTTACAAAATCTCCAAAAGGGCCTCTATAGACAAAACAGTCTGAATGGGCTAAATCAAGGTCAAAACAAAGCAGTTCAGAAGGCCAAACAGTCAGAGAATAATCCAAACAGGCAACGAACAACAAGAATCATGTGACCAAAAAGCTGTCGGTGGAGCCAAGGAGGCCTCCTTTGTCCATCCCGCCTGATGACATCGTAACCTGAACTTAACTGGAGCACGGACTGGAGCACGGACTGGAATATGGACTGGAATATGGACTGGAGCGAGTGGTGATGAGTTGAAAGCAAGGACTGGATCACGGATTGACGCTGCAAATGGAAAGACAGAACAGAGGCACAGAGAAAACAGCACCGATATGTAGCGGAGCGTAACAAGACAGTAATTAGCTAAATATGTACAGAATCATCATTTTAGGGCACTTTCTCATGGCACACTGTGATTGATGAGAGGCCAATAACAATCCATAACCGATAGATTGTCCAGCCCTTGCCTATACTAGAGTGTCTCTGCCCCATTTGGCTTTTTCCCTCACATTGCTAGCGGTTCGATCTCTGATGCAGGTGTTAATGAGGAGCTTAATGGTGTATTTTCGCTCTTCATATCGGCTGGTGTGATTAGCCCTGCTGCGGCTAAAGCGGCCGCTAGATAACCTTGACTTGTGACTTTTTGTATATTACAGCATCATTATTAAATTAGATTGCATAGTTAGTGTAGAAATGGAGGTCCGGGGCGATTGTGACTAACCTCCGTGCAAATGAGGCAGCGTGAGTCAGGAAGAAGGAATAAAGGCTGTAGCTGGAAGTGGTGTTTTCCCTGGAGGGGGGAAAAGACCACCAGATCAAAGACCACTAACCATTAGTGTGTGTATATGTTTAGCATAGATTATCTGTGTATGTAAAAAATGTAATAATAATAATAACAAATAAAAATAATAAGTCAATTTTCATTTTAATTACAAATCTTTAAGAACATTATAGTGTTCATTTCTAGATGCAAGCAGTGTGTTTATGTGTTTACATTCCTACAGTTGTATGAGCAAGGGTGCCCAAACTTTTGTATACGTCATTGTTTGTTTGTTTGTGTGTGTTTTTAGTATTTTCCTGACTGTTTGGGTCGTTCTCCATTTGGAGTGGGAATTCAGGTGGATACATTTTAAAAAATCAAATTCTTTCATCCCAAAACTAAATAATCTTAGTATGTCCATTAACATCTCCTATTATCATATATACAAAAAGGAGCTTAATTCCAAACATATTTTACAGTCACTGGTGTTGTATGAATGTGGTGTAACACCAGTGACGGTGACTCCAGTGACATTCAGGTTAAAACTGAGGATTTTGTAAATTGGCTGACTCGCTGGCTGATCAGGTGACCTTCTGCAACTATTTAAAATCAGTAATAAAAATGATAATATGGCAGTATTTTGACAAAATTTTAATCATCCAGCTATTAAAGCACATAACACCGGTGACACATAGAAGTTATGAACTGCCTGAAAAACAAAATTATTAATAAATTAGTGAAATATAGTGAGCGAGTGTGACTTGCCGATTCACGCCTTTAGACGCTTCCTCTCTGATGAGCCTCGACCCAAAGAGGCGGTTTAATAGAGCTGAAAATACTGTGTTAAAATGTAAAATAAGAGTCCTGATAACACCAGTGACCGCAATCTCTGAGAGAGATGATTTTTAAAATAAAATCATATTTTTTTTAAATGTAGTATAATGTTAATGAAATAAAAAGTAAACATGAATCTGCTTTATAGAAATTCCTAAGTTTTTAACTTAAAAATATTGTTTTATATTAAAAGTGGTTTCTCAAATGTTGTTTTGTGATGAGCTGTTTTACCGATGCAGAGCGACTATGAAACAGGATAAAAAAGAAAAATCAGAGAATCATAAGAGAAAAGTGTTATTTAATCTTAGGTCAACTGTGTAAATGTACATACCGACTTTTGGAGCTGTGTCTGATATTTTAAGCATCTTTTTAAGCCCTGAAACCTCCGTGACATGGCTTCCCCTCCAAATGGAGAATTACTCGTTTATATTTCTATAATATGGCATAACCCCTTTAAGGTGTGAATAATGCTATTTGTACAGACTTTCAGCTTTACTTTGCAGGTATTTACATCCAAATGGTATGAACAGTGTAGGAATTACAAGCATTTTCACACGTAGTCTCCCAACCCCATTTTCATGGGCTCAAAAAGTAATTGGAAAGTTGGCTGCTCAGCTGTTTCATGGCCAGGTGTGTGTTGCACCCTCATTATTTCCCCTTACAAGTAAACAGATAAAAGATCTAGAGTTTTTTATGTGTGGCATTTGCATTTGGAATCTGTTGCTGTTGGCCATCATTAGGCTGAAAAATCAAAACAAGCCCATTAGAGAGAGAGCAAGAACATTAGGTGTGGCCAGATCAACTATTTAGTGCATTCTTAAAAAGAAAGAACACACTGGAGAGCTCAGAAACACCAAAAGGACCTGAAAACCATGGGAAACATCTGTGGTGGATGACAGAATTATTCTTTCTCTGGGGAAGAAAAACACCAAACACCTTTACAACACTTAGATCAAGATAAAGAGCATCATCCAAGAGATCAGCGTATCTGTGTCCTGCCTGTACTATTCTGGAACAACATCTTATTGAGAGATGAGGCCAACTGGTATCAGAATGATGGGAAGAGAAGAATATGAAGACGGGAAGGAACTGCTTATGATCCAAAGCATACCACCTCATCTGTAAAGCATGGTGGAGGTAGTGTTATGGCATGGACA